AGTGCATAGTTCCAACTTCTTGCACATCTTCCTTTTTTTTCTCTTGTCGAGTTCAAGAACGCTTGGACACGAAGTAGCAAAGCTTGTTGAAGTTTCCTAGCTCTCGATCTTGTAATCGGTCCATGAGGCATAACAAAGGTAGCTCCTTAGTTCATATCACATCTTCAATGTAGACACCAAAGCCACCACAAAGTCTTCCTCGCTATCCGCTAGATGTTAAGAACTCGGTTTGTGGGAACCGTCTTATAATTGAAAGGGAAATTGAGAAATCCAGAGAGAGCTTTTCTCTTTTAGAGTTTCGAAAACTCTATCAACCAACGTTTGGGGTATCACCAAAAGAAAGGGAGAACCTCCCTTTTTATAATGGAGGAAGAATGGTGGGGAAGTCAAATTTTCCCCACTCCCCACCAATAATGGTGGAAGTGGGAGGTTAATCGTTCCATTATTTCCCCCTTTTTTTAATGTAATTTAATTAAAACATTTTTAATTAAATTAATAATTAATCAAATCTAATATAATTAATTACATAAAAGAAATATTAATTTAGTTAAATTAAATCAAATTTAATTTAATCAAATTAACATATCTCATAAATTTAATTAAATCATATTTAATTAAATTAAATGTATAATAATCAACTATATTAGAATCAAATTCTAATATCCATCTCTCTCATAATTTTGAATCCAATTCAAAATCAACTTTATATTATAATGTAAATATACATTATATTAATTGCATCTCATACAATTAACTTTAATTCCCTTTAACAAATTTGAACAACTCAAATTCTTTTTAAGACTAAATATTTTTAACTATCCTTTATGAGCTAGCAAGGGGACCTAATGGACCTATAGATCAGAAGCTCCAACGATACGAGATTAATTGATTAAACTCATTAACCATATTAATCAACATTCATTAACTGTCGGTCACCCCACTAAAGACCCACATTTGCACTCTTCTCACCATAGAATATGTTGTGTCCATGAATTTTGACCATTGACGATACGTTAATCATTCACGAGTGTCTGTAACCACAACTGGGTTAAATTACCGTTTTACCCCTGTGTTACATCTTGTACCTTAAGTACCGCTGATCCTCTAATCAACAACCCAGTTATGGTCCAACCAATAACCGGAAGTCCCTATCAGGTCAGTGAAAGGGTGTGACCCCTTGTTAAAGTCTCGGAGTCAGCACTTAAGAGAACACTCATCTACTTACCCTAAAGTTGGGAATGAGTGAATTTCATCTTGTGTAGTTATGTTCCCAACTCCCCACTATGTCTCGTCCCTAAAATGGTAGGCATATTGAGTCGGCGACTCAGACCACTCTCACCCATACAAATCAAAGGAAGAGCCCTAACAGGCAGGAGTCCATAACTCACTCAGGATTGAGATTGAGTTACCTGGTCATCCTATTGAAATATTAATCTATTAGCTAACGGTGTTACAACTAAAGATTAATTATTTCGTTGTCCGGTCTTATACAAACTCATTGTATAGGATACCCCCACTCGCATGTCTCCACACAAATGACCTAGATCAAGTCATTTGTAACTATTACAAAGTGGGCCGTATCCATAGTGTTATTAGGATAAGGTACCCAACTTTATCCATATACTATAGGACCCTTTAGGTTACTACTGGAACATTATCCACATGTGTATCAAATATATATTGTATATATATACACACATTGTATATCAAATATATAAGCTGTATATTAAATATATACTGTATATCTGTTATATATTGTTCTAGTTACATCACATAACCTCGAATGTTAGTTTAATGAATTTGGGTTAATGCAATTCTACCAATAACAACTTTATTGAATGAATATTTGTTTTATGTTTACAAACCACGAGTTTCGGGCATAAAACCCAACAAACTCCCACTTGAACTAAACTCTAGTGGGGTGTACAAAAACTAAAGGCATTAGTGGGTTGTACAATAAAGTACAAATACAATAAACTAGGGCATACACTATACCCTTTACAAGTCTCCCACTTACCTAGACTATATTGTACATATCTCGTAGGTTTAGACCTTCTAGACGGCCCTTTAACACTTTAACCGTATGAGCCTTTAAACTGATCACCAATTTGCCACAGCATCGCTGTTATCACAATAAAGTGTGATGGGAATTGTCATGTTTGGAATAACTTCCAAATCAGTTAAGAACTTTCTAAGCCACACTGCCTCTTTTGCTGTTTCACAAGCGACAACTTATTTGGCCTCCACTATGGAGTCTACAATGTATCCTTCTTTGATGCTCCGCCATACTACAGCTCCTCCATTAAGAGTGAACACTTATCCTGAAGTGGATTTCCTTGAATCCTTATCACTTTGGAAATCAGAGTCAGTGTAACCTATAAAGATTAAATCCTTAGCGCCATACACAAACATATAGTTCTTCGTTCTCCTAAGATACTTGAGGATACCTTTAACAGCAGTCCAGTGATCATATCCTAGATTAGATTGATACCTACTGACAATCCTTACTGCATAGCAAATGTCAGGTCTAGTACACAACATGGCATACATCAGGCTGCTCACTGCTGAAGCATAGGTAATGCGCCTCATATCCTTAACTTCTTGAGGTGTCTTAGGACATTATTCCTTAGATAGAGAGATTCCATGTCTGAAAGGTAGTAAACCTTTCTTGGAATTTTGTATCGACTATCTATTAAGCATTTTGTCAATATAAGTCGCCTGAGACAGTGTCAGCGTTTTGTTCTTTCGATTCCTTATGATTTGAATCCCCATAACAACTGAGCATCTCCTAAATCTTTCATTTGGAATTCAGTTGCTAGCCACTTCTTAATGTCAGTTAGGAAACCTACATCATTCCCAATGAGTAGGATATCATCCACATACAACAGCAAGAAAGCTACAGTGTTTTTGATGATCTTCTTGTATACACAAGGCTCATCAACATTCTGGTCACCATAAGACTTTGATTGCAGTATCAAATCTTATATTCCAAGATCGAGATGCTTGTTTTAATCCATAAATGGATCGTTTAAGCTTGCAAACCTTTTTCTCTTGATCTTGCTTAATGAACGCTTCTGGTTGAGACATATAAATACTCTCTTCAAGATTGACATTCAGAAAAGCAATCTTGACATCCATTTGCCAAATTTCATAGTCATAAAATGTGGCAATGGACAAGAGTATTTTTATAGACTTTAGCATGGCAACCGAGGAGAAGATTTCCTCATAGTCCACCCCTTCCTTTTGGGTGTAACCCTTTGCCACGAGTCTAGCCTTAAAAGTATGTTCCTTTCCTTCGACTTCTCGTTTTCTCTTGTAGATCCACTTACAACCTATAAGTTTGACCCCATCAGGTTGATATACAAGGTCCCAGACATAATTGAAGTACATAGACTCTATTTCAAGATCCATAGCTTTTATCCATTTGTCATTATCAACATCTTCCATTGAATTTTTGTATGTCAATGGATCCTCAATGCCATCATCAGGTATGACGACCTGGGTTTCTGTTAAACCCACGTAACGATCAGGTTGTGACACAACCCTCCCACTACGTCGAGACACTCTAACTCTTGAGATGGATGATTGGGGTTATGCTGATCGCACGCACTAGGCGTGGTAACAATTCTATAGATGCAAGCGCACACCTGTCAGAGTAATATAAAATGGATGGAGTATCCAAGTATCGATCCTCAAGGACTTCTAAATAATTTCCAAACTCTAAAGTTTTAATGAATAGTGAACGTTGAAATGAGTGATTCTTGTAAAATGGGRAGTGGTCACAAATAATGGTTTTGGATTTGGGATTTGGTCTTATAATGGTAAAATCCAGCCCGAATTACTTCAAGTTAGCCAACAAAGARTCAAGGATACGCTAAGGACGATATGCATTTTACTTTAGGAACCAACAACTACGCTTTTCACTTGACTTATGTCTAAGCAAGTTCAAAGTCCTAAGACATTCCCTA